TTCCGCCTCGCCCGACGCCCGTAGGCCAGCTCCACCTCACCCGACGGCTGGGGGACGGCTTCGCCTCGCCCGAGGGCTGAGGACTCAGCTCCGCCCCGCCCAAGGGCTAAGGGCTAGACTCTGCCTTGTCCGACCCCCGAAGTATAAACTCCACCTCGCCCGACGCCCGTGGGCCAGCTCCGCCTCGCCCGAGGGCTGAGAGCTCGGCTCTGCCTCGCCTGACCCCCTGAGGGCTGGGCTCGGCCTCGCCCAATGGACAGAAGCTAGGCTCCGCATCGCCCGACGTCCGAGGACGGACCTCGCTTCGCCTGATGTCCAAAGGCTAGCTCCGCCTCACCTGACAACCGCACCCCACTCCCTCATGATGATAGGCATAGGGTAAGACAAGATTTTTGGGTCAACCGCGGTATCGAGGACCATGCCCTGCGCCCCTACAGGAAAGTACCGTCAGGGCGTGATAGGACGGGCACTTAAACCCTTCCAGTCGTGGCAGAGCCTGAATAGTGTTGCAGGCGCATGCCCTTCGCCCTACAGTGTTGTAGGCGCCGCCTTCAGCCTTCGGGTAAAGAATCTGACAAGGGCATACGACAACCACTACGTTCCAAGGAGGGACTCCGTCCTCTCTGATGTGGCAAACGAAAGCGGATCACTCGCTATCCGCTCCCCACGGGTCGAGATCGACAACCTGTCAGACACACCGCCACGCCAGCGAAGGACGGGCGGACGCACCCACTTGCTAAATAAGGCCAGGGCATGGCCTATGAAGATCAACAACCGCGCCACTCCTGACACGGTCTGCCATGTTATACAGGGCAGGCGCGGGAAAAAAGGGAGACCCGAATCCTTCGAAGGATCTTCTATACTCATGATATTTTCCTCTTTCTCTCATCTATAACCCCTGCTCCCTCCTTGGTCTATAAAAGGGAGGGCAAGGCTCCCCACTGGAGGGATTGACTTTTGACGAACAACTCACATACAAACGAGCTCATAGAGAGTTCGGTTCCACATCACGCACACAGCCAAGCCGCCACTAGGCTCTTGGCACCCTTTCGACCCTTTCCATCAGAGACCTGGGACCAGTCCCTCTCTCGACCGTTTATACCCCTACTATGAACCTCTTTCGGTGCTAATAACACGAGCAGCAACAGACTAGACGTAGGGACATTCAGCCCGAAACAGTATAAACCTTGTATCCTTGAGCACACTATCCGGGCCTAACGCGCATCAATTATAAATTTACTAGCCGGTGTTTGTTCGAAACACCGACAGGTAGAAAAAGAGGCCATAATTTAGAAGTAGAATTTTAAGTTGCCTAATTCACACCCCCCGCTCTTAGGCGTCGCGGTCCCCTTTAAAAGTGATGTAAGAAATGACTTAAAAATGTTGTAAGCTTTATTCTTTCATTTATGATTCTGATGAAAAAAAAATGTGGATTTTTGAGTTGTCCCTTGGGGTATGCTCAACAGAACTACGTAGTTTAGTGTCCTCTCTTAGGTACTTAGTGTCTAATGAAAGATAAGTATTTGTAAGAGACTTTAGATTAGACGGTTTTGCATGCATCACCGTACCGTATGGTGACCACCAGTGACAGAGACATTAATCGAGAGCTAGGCTACGGCACCCCCAATCATACGCTGGCTTGTTAGGAAGGCAACACCATACCATACGTTGGGAACCAGTGATGGGGAAACTAATCTAGAGCTAGGTTACGCCTCCACCGTATGATATGCTGTCTACAAAAACATGCAACACTGTGTCATAACAACGCGGTGCCTAGTCTATTTTCACGTCGAGACACGTACAAAGACAAAAATGTCCTTTCCATTTTAAATGGTACAGTCGGCGGTTTGTCATTCATCCCAAACTGTCGTGTCTTTCTTCTCCTTTGTGCTAGGTTTTGTTGGCCTCAAATGGAAGAATGGATTGCACCTTGCATTTCTCTCGTTGAGCTAATAAAAAAAAATGGATCGCATTGTTTGGAGTCCGAATGAATTAATTATGATTTTCAAAAGGTTTTCGGCCTACGTACATAAACCGGCCAGGCCGGTTTTGATAGGCCCAGATTAGATCTAAACCATGTGTTTGATGCGTTTTGTAGAGGTTTTCGACCCTTTATGGGATAAACCCTCCTTATAAATATAAGGGGCATGACCGATTGAGGTGCCAAACACACATAATCGATACAAAACCAATCTACTACATCTTTTTGTCCTCTTTTCTCTTCAACTTCTCGTTTTTCATTACTGTTGCATGGCTGGTGGATCGACGACCATGAAGGCCTAGTGCAGTCAGGCCAACTAGGGCAACCATAGCCGTCGTACGTCCTGACGGAGTCCCTCTCGGACATGTGAGGTTTCATGTTTTAATAGACCACATCGACGTGTCTTGCGTATCACGCTTTCGATGAGACTCCTCCAATGACGTATCTTGTGTAACATGCTCATCGCTGGACTGGATGCACAGGTTCGTGTGTGACCATATGGTAGACGCTGACCAATAAGTTAGCTAAACCATACCTTAGAGCGATCTAGTTCCTTGCCGATAAGCTGACCTAATTAAACGTCGATAGTGACTCACGAAATCGATATCCTAAACACACCCTCTATCGAATGGCATGGCTCATCACGCTTTGGCCGTCCCATGCTAAGGGCATGTTTGGTTCCAAATAAGTCACCTACTTATAAGTTAAAAAGTGAAAAAAGTGACTTATTTTGCCAAACACCACCAACTTATAAGTCATCCCTGCTTATAAGTTTTAAGTTGGTTCACCCTTGCTTAAAACTTATAAGTCACCCTTTTTCGCGTGGGGCCCACACCTTTAATAAGCTTATAAGTTATCTACAACCAAACAAGCATGACTTATAAATCACTGATTTTCAGTCACTGACTAATAAGTCACCTGCCAAACAGGACCTAAACATGCCCTCATGCCCGCTCCCAGGAACGATCTGACCGATCAGTCCACGGCTCGCTCACAGGTGCGCTCCGGCCGAGGCCGAAGTATGTTGGACGGTGGATTGGATCACTCCCTTTCCGGTTCCCGTCACCGCCCTTCGTTCACGGGTCCACGGCTCTCTCTCTCTTGACTCTACACACTTCACTCTCCTCGTCCTCGGCGCTTCGTCCAACTGCAGTAAGGCCGCGGGCTCGAGGCCAGTTCTTCCCCCACCGGCCGGCGAGGCCGCACCTCCCGTGCATGTCATCCCCGGTGGGCGCCGCGCGTCCTATGGTAGCGACTCGCCTCTCAGCGCGGAGGAGCGGCAGCGGTGCGCTGCCGGCCGACGGAGCGCCGTCCGAGCCGCCTCCAGCTCCCCTCCGACCTCCGACCTCTCAGGGTGCGCAACCACACCCCCCACCGCCCCCCCCCGTTCTTGATGTTCTCGCTCCCTTCAGTCTTCAGAGCACTTCGCTGCGGCAGAAGCAGTGAAAAACCCGTCGCCCCGCCTCCTGTCTCGAATCTGGTGGATTGGCGATGGCATCCGTTGAACCCACTTCTGGCCTCTGTTTACAAATAATCTTTACTCAAAGAGCTAAACATTAAGTATTGAGTTAAGTCACGCTCAATGAGATCCAATAGACACTAATCAGTTAAACGCCTAGCGGTATTCTTGGCCTGATGCATATACGTGCCGTCTCAAACTCTCAATTGGATGAGGACGGTGTGAGTATATACCTGCATACTCTAAACAGGTATACAGTACGTACACTCTTGTAAAGTAGGAGTATATGTGTGTACACACTTAGAAGGCCAGTAGTATATCTGTATACTGACGAGTGGAATATGTGTATATACATGAGTAGAGCAAATATAGCAGTAATAGTAAAGTATCACATGATACTCTCATTTGAAAAAAAATATTGCCATGGATTCAGGATGATAAGATGTGAAAGAAGTATCTACTGCTGCTACTATAATGTGAAAAAAGTATCAACTGATACCATGACATGAAAAAAAAAAATTTATCAAGTCATACTCAAATCAAATCTGGAAAAATATCAGTTGTACCGCGATATGAAAAAATTATCTAGTGATACTCTAATCTGAAAAAAGTATCAGATGATACTCTCATCTGAAAAAAAATCCATGGAGTTGCAGGTGCTATTGTGTGTGTCTCGCGCTCTCCTGTTGTACTGCTGGGTACAAGTTTGAAGTTCGTAGATTCAGGTGCAGAGTTTTGATAATTGTGCTAAAAGGATCAGAGCAGGTATGCACATATACTATCGTCGAAGAGGTTTGAAAAGATTCAGAGGCAAGTCTACATTTACTTGCTGGGCAGCAAGATTGGCAACGAGCCAAGGACCCTGTACAGTTCAACGATGACTTGCCAGATGAACTGCCTAGTAGAACACAATGGATATGAGAAAGCAGGGCAGTTTATCACCCCAGCGACAGTGACGGATCATATACGACGATGAACTTGATGAGCATGAAGATGAACTGAGGCACTAGTCTGTTGGAAATATCTGGATATCTATCAACATCATATGACCCATCCAGCCTGGAACACCATATATTCTCTGTCAGGTGTACACGTTTGTGACACACTAAGAGCGAGTGTGACTAGTCTAGGATGCAGGTGAGCAAGCCTCAAGTCTGGTTAAGAGAAGGGAGTAGGAGAGTAGCTACATCCGGATAGAAATGATTTTCCCTATATATATATATATATATATATATATAATAGCACATTCACCAATTTTGCTTAATTCAAGTTGATAGGTTCTACTAGGATTGCTAGGTACTCCCTCCGTTCCAAATTATAAGTCGCTTTGACTTTTTTGGTTCATCCATTTTTCTATGTATCTAGACATATTATTATATCTAGATGCATAGCAAAATGGATGTACCAAAAAAGTCAAAGCGACTTATAATTTGGAACGGAGTATCATTTACTATTTTATTTAAATTTACCTGCGATAGGTAGCACATCAGATGACTTTGTTGTGTTAAATTTAGTTCTTTCACAGTAACGTTCACACAACTATTAATTTAGCATCCTGCCATGTTTTTCTGGTTCCACCATAGGGAGAATAATGGCTTGGTTATCTCTAATGACAACACACTGAAGCAGACTGTGGAGGTAGAAAAACAGGAGAGGCAAGGTAAGGAGGTTTTAGTAGTTGAGGAACTGGATGAGTTGAATGAGGATTCGGGGTCACTGGATGAGCCGCCGGGTTGGCTTCCTGACGGTTGGATTATGGAGGTCTGTCAAGAAGACAATGGCTCCATCTACCAGGTATGCATGCTTCCACATATGCCCTTGCCTATGAACATATATGTCATGTGATGTTTCGAATGCTGACCATACATATGTTTTTCTAGATCTTATGAACCTGCTTCTGGAGTTTATAGAACATTTGTTGGTTAATATGTGTGAAATTTTGTTACTTCCTGGTTGTTTTCTGCAGTACTACACTTCCCCAATGTCCGGATACACATTCACATCAAAGATGGAGACGTTGCATTATCTTTTCTCAGGGGTGGAAGAACGTATGTTGGAGTTGCACGCAGGCGCTGAGGATAACGAGCTTCATGTTAGTCAATTCTTATTTAATCATGCCATGTTGTCTGACACTGCTGATTAAACTGATGTGCTTCCCTGATTGTTGCATGCAGGAGTCACATACATGGCTTCCACGTGAGTGGGTGATTGAAGTCAGAGCCGGTGGGAAGAAAATGGACAAAATGTACAAGGTAGGTTGGAGATTTTTGCACAATAACATCTAGGGATGCAAGCAGGCTTGACTGCGAACCCACAAATAGGCTTAATGCAGGTTTCTGCGGAACCTTAAAAAATAAGCCTATTTGCGGGTTTGCGGATAAGCCCACCTGTGGGCCTTTCGTTACATCCATATGTTGTGGTACTCTACTGCAACTATACATATTGGATATAAAAAATACAACAGTTTTCCCATAATATGTTGCTGGCAAGACAACAAGATGCCCCCATCTAAAAGTGAGTAGAAAACCGAAACAACAATTGGGGTAGGTATTGGCTGCAGGCCCACAATGGGATGCTAAGGTGATGAAGCTTGATGTCACCTCAACCTTGGATGGTGGCTCATAGCATCCTCTGGTTTTACCAGATAGAAGCAAAGGATACGTGTCATGGAGGCTGATGTGAGTGAGGTCATGCCGCGGCTGTGGATGGAATGGAAGAAGATATTCAGAAAGAAAAAAAAAATAAAGGCAGGAGTTTACTTGTGGCTCTCTCGATGCGTACTATTTTCAGCTCAACATAAACCATGACATCAATCAACATTGAACACATAGTTGCCATATCAGTGGAATTCTAGGGTTTAAGGAAATTCTAGGGTTTAAGAGGATCATCTGCAGTTGTTTGAATGGTTGAAATAAATCTTCTCTTTTATAATTCAGGGTTAAATTTTATGTCTTTAGGACTGGGTGTAGGGGCAGGAGGTATGAATCTTTGCTTGTTTAGAAGAAAGCTGTCCCATTATGAGATTGAGAGTGAGGAGGAAGTTTCAGTTACATGGTGGATATGTTAGTTCATTAGAGGAAATTGAAGTCACACGAAGAAAAAATGTCATATGGGGAATAATTTGATATGAATGTAAGAATGTTAGATGAGATATGGGTATATATGGCGTTTCTTTTTGTTTTGAAGCTTATGACTTCTGCAGTTCTATGTTAACCTACCTACTGGGAAGCGATTCTTGTCAAAAGCAGAAGTATTGCACTTTGTTAATAAGGGCATGGTTTCTACATGTGATATGGATGTGCTGTGCGACACTAGCACTGATGATAATGTATGACTCTTGCTGGAATTGTTCCTTCTATTTTGAACTCTACAAGTTCGTAACTTTCTTCAGAACTAACCTTCAAGCTTATTTATAGATACTTGCTCATGTGGAGTTCAATCCTGATGGTTTACCAGATGGATGGGTGAAAGAAATGATATTTAGAAAGTGCAATGATGGAATCAGAAAAGACCCGGTACATTAGCGTAGTGCATCTAACCGTTTATATCTAGTTTGTTGGGAAAAGTTGCTTATCCCTTTTATTATTCATCAGCAGCCCTAGTTTGATAACATTTCTAACTTGATTATGCAGTATTATACCGATCCTGTTAGTCATCGTGTATTTCGCACGCTTAAGTCTGCATTGAGCTACCTTGGAACTGGAGAAATATCTAAGCATTCCTATTTACCAAGGAGAAATGTCATTGACATGTATTCATTTGACAAGTGTGCAGATCTGGTAATTTCTTTTTCGGCATTGTATTTGTCCTTGTCAGGTTGTGTAATTATCCTTCAGAGACCTTTAATTCTTAAAGCAAAATGTTTTTTTTTTGGTTTTTGACAGCTCTTGTTTCATACACAGGCACTGTAGAGAATTAGATACAGTTTTACTAGGTTCAGAAAACTAAGTTTCAATTTGCTAGCCTACATTGCTTTCGATATACTTAAAAGCTATGGACTTTTTTTTTAATAAAAGCCCATAGCTTTCCTAAATCTACAATTTACGTACTCTTAACAAAAACAAAGCAGTGATATGAATTGTCTGTTTCATGATTGAATATAATACAAATATACCAATGTATTTTGTTTTCTCCCAGTACTATTGTTTTACCATAGGCCCTTGGTCATCTTATGTCTACTAGGTAACCCCTTCATTCCAAACTATAAGACGTTTTGGCTTTTCTAGATACATTGATTTTCCTATATATCTAGACATAGTGTACATTTGAATGCATAGCAAAACTACGTATCTAGAAAAGCCAAAACGTCTTATAATTTGGAATGGAGGGAGTACATTCAAATGGTTTACTCAATTTGCTAAGAAAGACAAGCTTCATTTGGATTCTAAGTCATAAGTCCTATCATTATACTTGCTTGTGGAAGACAAACCACAAAGTTGAACACTGTTAACTTATTATCCCCTACAGTATAGGACATTCATTTTGTTAGGACAGTGCAATTAAATAAGACAATAGATTTAAAAAGTTGTCCATAAACTATACCTGTCATGTTCATTTACTAGTTACTATGGCATAGACTAGCAAGAATGTTGTCTAAAAAGATTATATTTCATGCCTTTTATATATGTACCTTCTTGATAATCTCCAAGATATGATGTTCAACCTCTTTTCTGTGACATATAATTCAAGTTTTTTCTTGAACCATCAGCCTAAACGTATGCTGAAAAGACTGAAAGCAGAAGGACAAACAAAGAAAAAATTCATGAGAGCACTGGTTTTAGACAAGGAATTATCTAATGGGCAGACTTCAAATCAGTGTAAGTTCTGGTTATATGGTACTCCCTCCGTTCAAAAATTTAGGTCAATTTAACTTCGTCTAAGTCAAACTTCTCTATCTTTGACCAAGTTCTTAGACAAGTATATTAACATCTAGAAGTTCAAATAAATTATCTATCAAGACATTTCATGGAGAATTTAATGAAACAAATTCCATGTGTTTTTCAATAAACTTGGTCAAATTAGAGAAGTTTGACTTTGGACAAAGCTACAGTTACATGTAGTTTGGAATGGAGCGAGTATTTTGCAAGTATAGTTCATGCAATTATAGGGTATCCGTTTGTTCTAAGTACATGTTATAATTATGTTTTCCTGTGGAACTAATTTGCCATATATATAAGTTGAACTGTACATTGAATGTTCAGTCTGATCATTATTAAACTAGATATTAGCAAGCTGGTTATGGCTTTGATGCTTGGTTTGTGGTATGCTGCAGCCCATTGTGAGATACAACAACAACAACAACATAGCCTTTCAGTCCCAAGCAAGTTGGGGTAGGCTAGAGTTGAAACTCACCAAGAGCCCCAAGTCATGGTTTAGGCACTTCAATAGCTGCTTTCCAAGCACTCCTATTCAAACATAGATCTCTAGGTATATCCCAAGCTTTCAAATATGTTTTTATTGCCTCCCCCCATGTCAATTTCGGTCTTCCTCTACTTCTCATATTATTAGCTTGGCTTAGGACTCCACAGTGCACCGGTGCCTCTGGAGGTCTCCTTTGGACATGGCCAAACCACCTCAACCGATGTTGGAAAAGCTTTTCTTCAATTGGTGCTACCCCTAGGCGATCACGTATATCATCGTTCCAAACTTGGTCCATTCTTGTGTGACCACAAATCCATCGCAACATACGCATTTCTGCAGCCCAGTGTGAGATAATGAGGTCATTTACATGGACAAAACTATGTGTACTACTGGGGTCTAAGGGCCCTGATGAATCTTTGCTAATCCTTCTGAATCTTGCTGATCTTAGTGATTTGCAGATCAGCTCTTCCTCTCAAATTTATCTGTTGATCGAATCCAGTCGTACCATGAGATGCTATTAGTTATTTTGGATTTCCTTTTGCTGCATTCGCCTGAGTGTGCATGGCTCATGAGCCAAACAAGCTGGCTTGAACCACTAACAAGCCAAGACGAGCTAGCTTTTTTAGCTAGTTTCATTAACGAGCCAAGCCAAGCCAGCTTGTTATCTTTCTTAACAAGAGTGAGCCGAGCTAGCTCAACATCCATCCCTATGACTTATTTTTCCTATATGTGCTTTGCTATTCTTGGTGTTCAGTGCAAGTAAAGAACTATCAACCACTGTTAAAAAATGGTGGCCTCTAGTGCAAGATGGCTAAAGGTGGGAGGGACTCTTGGAGTGGGAGAAAGAGAGAAAGTACTTCTTTATTCTTTATCTTGCCTGAGAAAGTACTTCTTTATTCTTTATCTTGCCTTGTAAAAATGAGAGCAATGACCTCATATTAAACTATTTATAAGAAACCCAAACTTGACGCAGACTAATAAATGAAATATGTGAGAAACTAATCATATTTCATACCAACACTTGGCATAATTATGATATTTCATACCAATTCTGTTGAGCCAGATTGGTGGCCATGAGCATATGACAACTTTGCATTTTGCTTGTCCTTGAGCAGCACCCTGACAATTAGTCAATGATGATTGCGAAGCAAACTAATGGAGTGAAGTTAATCAATAAATGATGCTATCACAGATTTTTTGGAAAAAAAGAGAGTTAAATGCACCAGGGGCCCTCGAACTTGTAAGTGTGTCACATAGGCCCATGAACTTGAAAAATGCATTTCTAGACCCCTAAACTTCTAAGTTCATGGACCTATGTGACACACGCTTACAAGTTTGAGGGCCCCTGATGCTATCACAGATTCAGTGTTAAATTTTGTACCTGCTGAACTGCAGTTGTTTGCTGTGGAATGCTAGTAGATGTGATATGAATTTTTGCAGAGGATACCATATAGAGTGACCTGGCAACAATAAAGATATAATATAAATTCATAATATGAAAGGATGAATGACAACAAGAAAGCCTTTTTGTCCCAAGCAAGTTGGGGCGGACTAGAGATGAAAGTGAACATGAGCCCACCAATAAGAGGATAAACTTATAATAAAATAAATAAAAGGTGTCAATAGTAGTAATAATATTAGTTGGATGATTGGATCTAAAACTTGTTCATGTGTCAAGCACGTGGTGATAGGATCCGGGATCCTCCCGCGGCTACGGAGTGCATAGGAGGTTGGCGGTCGAGGTCGAAATTTCTGGCTCCGGGTGGGAGCCGTGGTGGCGATGGAGCGGCGGCGCTAGGGCGAGCGTAGCGTACGTGAGGGAGAGGGAGAGTTGGCGTGGAAGAAGGCCCGTGAGGCCAGGCAAGATAATTGCCTTGCTTAATTATCACAATTCCAGTTTAGAGGTATTTATCCTCCTAAACAAATCAATCAAGATTCAATTTTTAAGGAAATAAACAGGAAATATCTAATCTCCTGCTGCGCCTGCCCCTACTGCGCGCGTGGCCCTTAGCCACTGGCACGAGCCCGGCACTGGTAGGTCACGCCGGTCATAACATCTCTCCCCGTCTCTTCAAACAGCTCGTCCTCGAGCTGAAAGTTGGGGTAGAGGTCCTGGAACTGCTGCAGCGGCTCCCAAGTAGCATCATCAACAGGCAGGCAGTGCCACTTCACAAGGATATGCCAAGCGCCTCGGCGAAGATGGGCACGCAGCACAAGCTTTGGCACGGCCAGCAGACGACCATCCTGTACGGTGGCACTGATGGCAGAGCAGTAAGAGGGTCGCCCTCGAATGGCTTGAGCAGCCCCACATGGAACACATCATGGAGCCATGCGCCCTCGGGAAGCTGAAGACGATACGCCACTTGCCCAATGCGCTCCATCACCTGAAACAGGCCGGTGTAGCGTGGACCGAGCTTCCCCTTGGGCTGGTGCTCCAGTGAGTGAGTGGGGCGGTGAAGAAGACGTAGCCACACTCAGTCACCCACTGCAAACTCGAGCTCCTGGTGGTGGTCGTCGTAGTAGCGCCTGGTGTACTGATGAGCCTAGAGGCGCTCGCGAACCTCCACGAGGAAGGTGTCACGATCTCGCATGAGGGTGTTTGCCGCCTCCATTTGGCAGTCCTGGTTGTGTGTGGTAGGAGCGGCGGTGGTGGCCTGCCGTAGACCACCTGGAACGGCGTGGTGCAGAGTGCCGTGTGGAACGAGGTGTTATAGCAGTGCTTTGCCCACGGTAGCTAGTCAACCCAAGCACGCGGACAGTCCCAATGGCGCAACGAAGGTACATGGCGATGACCTTGTTGACGACCTCCAACTGGCCGTCCGGGGTGGCACGCCGTGCCAGGCGAAGCTTGACGCCGGTCGGCTTGGAGAGGTCGTGCCACAAGTTGCTGGTGAAGACCGGATCATGATCGCTGACGATGGAGGTGGGTGTCGCGGGGTCGGTAAGGATGGCAACGGGGCGGGTTCGGATCGGGTGGAGTGTCTGGGCACCCAAAACCAAAACCCGAATCCGCCCCGAAAATCGATTCGGGTGAAAATCCATCCCCGAAACCGAAACCCGCGGATCCCGAAACCCGACGGATTAACCGAAACCCGAGGATATTGCAATTAAAGATGTATAGAACATGCAAGTAGCAGCTATGATACACGACATGTACAACATACATGGTACAGAAGATAGTCAAGGCGTCCAGCCATTTACATAACACACACTGTCCAGATAGTACAGTCCAAACAAAAGTATTACAGATTTACAGTCCAAAGTGGCAAAGTCCAGACAAAAGATATTACACACATGTACAGGCGTACATGGTACAGAAGATAGTCCAAAGTGGCAAACTCCAAACATCCAAACAAATATTACAGTCCAAACATTCATCAATTACAGTCCAAACAAATATTGCAGCGCCACAAAGGTAGAATTGGAGAAGCAACCCAAGTTCAGTACAGTTCACATATTACAGTCCAAACAAATAACAGTACACACTGTCCAGATTATTACAGAATTCATCATTCATCAATTACGGTGGAATCATCTTCATCCTGTGAAATAAAAATAGAGAGTAGCTCATTACTTGAATGTTCAACGCATTGTAAATTCACAAATTGAATATAGAAGGAAACAACAGCACTACCATTTCTTCATCTTTTTCATCAAGACAAGTCATCAAAGCACCAACAAAAGTAGAATGAGACCCTGCATTGATGTGATTTTCACAAATTAGTTATATAACTTATACGGAATGAAAACCACATACTTATAGAAATTGCACTTACCTAACATGTCGTTATGAGACCATGCTTGCATACACATAAGTGCCTCAATCATTGATGGTGCAAGCCTACTACGATGTGGACTAATTATTGTTCCACTAGTGCTAAAGGCTGACTTGGATGCCACCGTTGTCATAGGAATAGCAAGGACATCACGTGCAATTTTTCGTAATGTTGGGTATTTGAGCCATGCATGTTGCCACCACTGAATGATATCCAACTCTTGTGTCCTAGGCAGCAGTGGCTCTTCCAAGTACAAATCTAACTCTGTTCGCACATAGGTGGAGGTCACAGCTGGCTGTTTGGACATGTAATCATCAAAAGTGTCAATCCATTCTTCATCATCCATCTGAGAAGGAGCACTTGGTCTAGTTTGAGCACCATCTGTTGTGGCAACATCCTCCATAGAATCTTGGTATTCCAAAACCAGATTGTATAACAAGTCTTTCACTTTGTTGACAGCTTCCATAGCTACACTTTCTGACCCATGAATTTTGAGAAAAAGAGCATTCAACAATTGTAATTTATACCTAGGATCTAGGATAGCAGCAACAGCCATCAAACCATGCACATCTGACCAATACTTGTTGAATTTCTCTTTCATTTTAATAGACATTTCTTCTACCATAGGAATTTCACTGCTTTGCCACTTCCTAATTGTAAAAAAAATGTTGCATATTTTG